AGGAGGAGGAGGAGGAAGAGGAGGAGGGGGAGGAGGAGAAGGAGGAGGAGGAGGAGGAGGAGGAGGAGGAGGAGGTGGACCTACCCGGGGGCGCGATGGTCGCAAGCGTACGGTGCGCGTGGACGAGCGGCGGGGCAGCTCGACTTCGCGTTCGAATTCGAACGGGGGGACCCGGCTGCCCCTCCCCGCCAGGCCGCCCGCCCAACCCCAACCCCGCCCCCCGAACACCCCCCCCCTACGGCCGCGAGACCCTACAGGCCCGGTACCGCCCCCCGAACACCCTCCCCCTACGGCCCCCAGACCCTACAGGCCCAGTACCGCCCGTGGAACGAACGCGTTCAAGAAGCTAGTGGGGCTGGTCGACTCTACAGGCCCAACCCCGCTGTTTGTTGGCACAGGTCGACTCCACAAGTCGACTCAGGCGCTGCACTTGCCCCTGTAAGCGCAGCCTCTCAACGCACGTGCGACTAATGAAGTTCCGTGTCGAGCAAGTGTCATAATAGGCCCCGGTCTTGCGCCCGCCAATGACCACCTCGCTGACGAACATCTCATCCTTAGGGGTTTTGACCAATGTCGTCCTTGAAGCTAGTGGGGCTGATCTAAACCACTCCTCCTCTAGCTCCTCTAAGGACTCGAACACATTCATCGAACAGTGGCTCGATGGGTCTGAACGTGTTTGCGGGACAACGATGGAGTCAGTAGCTTGGGCCATCTCTCGAGATGGTGACGATGTATCCACCACCTCGACCCTAGCAGGAACAACTACTATTCCTACTGGCCCGACGTGTTTCTCGAAGCGGTGCTAGAACTGCTGGCCACATTGCTACCAACGGGAGATGAGGATCCCAACGCCTGCCCCATCGTAGGCGGGATCTTCTCGGTCACCTTCTTGTCCCGACACTTGAACTGGTTATGGCCGTATTGGCCACACCGGATACAAGCCTGCCATGTGTACCGATCTCTCCACACGTCCTCAGTGAGACCCGCTTTCTCCCATGGAGGAGCATTGGGGTCAACTTGACTCCTTGACCGGGAACCTCCACGGCGTCTACCGGTCGCCTTACCTTTCTGTGCTAAGACAACGACTACTCCACCCCCTGAAGTCTCTACGCTGCCAGCCTTTGAACCTACTCCCGCCTGGAACTCGTCGTCCAACTCGATGGTGGAACCATCGTTGTCGATGAACATAATGCGGCCCTTTGCCTTCCAGTTGGGAGCATATTGATGTTGGCCTCACCTGCCAACTGATTCCTGAGAGGCATGGGAAAGCATCTCAGGTAGGAGGGGGGTCATAGCGCACCCCAGGGACACAGATCAGACACTCTACAGTGTCAGTGGCTTACCTTACTGACTTGAACTGCCTCGTGTGCAGTGTCAGGATCACGTCAATGGCTTTTTGGGCCTCCTGAGGATCATGCCACCTGTCTTCAACCATCTTGAGAAAGTCCTCCAGTTTCTGGTGGGCTGCCCAAGAGCGAAAGTCATGACGTGTGTGATCAATTCTTTGTCAATTCTTTTTTTAAGTTTCTTTTTTTTCCTTTTTTTTTTTTTTTTAACGGGACCATGTCAATTCTTTTTTTAAGTTTCTTTTTTTTTCCTTTTTTTTTTTTTTTAACAGGTCCTTATGGTCCTGGCTCCATGTCCATTCTGGGGAGCGTCAGTCTGGTTCCTATTCCCCCGGCAAGTCAAAAATGAAATACATCATAGAACACGCTCACGCTTCTTTCCATTTGGCCGAAGGATCCCTGACCAGCATTGATTACTCCTGACCAGGAGGATTGACAGTCAGCTTGCCCTAGTCTCCTATCCTCTCAGATACCCCCTGGGGCCTGCTGGGTTGTCCAGAGTCCTCGGGGAGGACGGCTGATTTCCTGTGTCATCGAACTCTTGAGGGTGGAAGCTGGTGCCATCTCTTCCATATCAGGTGGTTGCCCGCTATGCTTGCTATTCTACCTCTTATCAGCCAATCCTTGTGAAATGTTGTTCTCCTGATTGCTCGTCTCTCGGGGAATCTTCTTGATGCTGCGATGACCATGCGTCATCTGGCCCGAATTTCAGTTTCTGCCATCTTGGCTAGTAACGCCCACATTTCCTCCTTGGCAACCTCTGTACCTTCGATTGTGCTGGTGCATCTCCTTTTCCAGGATTATCCATAGTGTCAGCTTCCTGAGTAGAAGGAACCAGGTGCTCTTGAGACTTGAGGGGGGATCGGAAAGGAGGAGGATGGTTTGTGGAGTCATGATGGGGGGGGGAGGGGGGCAGAGAATAGGGATGTCCATAGGGCTCGGATCCTGTTCCAGAACCAAGTTGCCTCAGAACAGATGAGGAGACAATGAGGTATGTCTTCTATTGAGTCAGTGTTGCAGAGGGTGCAGAGAGGTGAGCTGTTGATGTCTGAGTGCTGTCTTCGCATGTGGAGCCAGTTGTTGACCGGGAGGGCTGTGTGGGCGATCAGCCATTGCATGCTGCGGATGTTGATTGGTCGGATGTTTAGGTATTGGGGCCATGGGATAGTGAGTAGAGTTTGCGGTTCCAGGTTGAGGATGTTAATCCATTTCTCGGTCAGTCTGGGGTTGGGATCTGAAGTACACAATCCTTGCTCGTAGCCGAATTTCACATTTTACTCAGCTATGGTTCGTGTCTTGCCGGCCTGGTCCTTCTTCCAGACCCATTCCTTAGGGTCGAATTCTAAGTCCTGGATGCTGAGTTCTGGTAGAAAAATGGCCCGTGACTTGTTCTGAGTTACCCTGACTTTTCCCTGCTGGAAGGTCTCCAGGGCTTCGGTCTGTGGGTCTTGGTTAGAGATTTCGAGGTCCTTTAGATTATGGTTGAGTACTGGGTAGGAGACGAAACTGGCCTTGTGGCCTGAGATCTGTTCTATAAATCTGAAGGCTCTTGTTGTAGGGGTCTGAGTAGTGAGTAGTCCCCAGTCTCCGGGCTTCCAGGTGAACCGTTCTCTGAGGAGTGAGATCCAATTTGCCGGAATGCTTTGTAGCATGGTCGTGAGGTTAGTCCAGATTGTGGCACCCTTTCAGTGGGGTGCGAAGCTCCTGTTCGCTGTACCATTCGCCTCGATCTTCTGACCATAGGTGTTTGATCTGCCACACCCCTTTCTCCACCCAGGACAACCATCTCCTATCCCTGTGGTGGAGGGGCCACGGGTTGCCGCTCCTGTCTTTTATCCATGGATTGCAGAATAGAGGTTGTCTGAGTACCTCCTCCTTGTTGGCTGGGGTGCCGTGTTTCGTGGGTAACATCTGGTGCCAGGCCGCCCAGGGTGGGGGCCCAGTATGATTTTGGTCTGGTGGTGCTGGGGGCTTGATCGGGGGTGATGGGCGAAGGCCTCCTTGGGGACTTGACTGACCAACCCTTGGCCATAATCCAGAACAGTCCCCTCATGTTGTGGGGGGATCGGACTGGGGCGAGGTCAAGTATGCTGTCTAGGGCCAGTTTGGCCCAGGGGATGTATTGTCGACTAAAGATCTTCACTATCCATTTCATCTGGAGAGCGATCGCTTCTTGTTTCGGGTCGATAATCCCCAGACCGCCCTTATGTGGTTTAAGTGTGATGTATTTCCAGGCTACTTTACTGATGCAGGTTGCTGAGTTAATGGTGGAGCTCAACATGTTTGTGATTTTGAGTTTCTCCTTCACTGTCACCAGCAGAGAAGGATCTGTTTTGAGTTAGGGAAGAGGGAGATGCTCCGAGTGGTTTAGCAGGATTTCGGTGATAGTAGCAGTCGTTGGCCCGCCGACAGTTGTGGAAGAGGCAGTGATAAGGAAGTGGATATGCGGACCGGAGGTGCAGTCAGTGCGCGATTTACACTTGGCATGCAGGTGGGGCAGGTGGACGGTTGAGCTACAGACAGAGTGTGTTTGTCCAATGCTTGGTGTCTTGACTGGCATGGTGCTTGAATCAAAGGGTTTGCTTCTTACTTCTAAAGGCTTGGGAAAGAGCACACGATATCAAGCACTTGGCTTTAGCATTGTCCTGAGGGTTCGGGGTGCAATTACGTTGTTCTGACTTGCACGGCACTACCCCGAGGAAGGAAGGACGATGATGAATTCTAACTGGCTTCCAAGAAACTGCAATGGCCCATTAGTTTGACTTCCAAGATTGAGAGAACATACGAAAGATCAGAAGGTCTACATTGGGGGTAATGCAAATCAGAAAAGAGACATCTGAGTGCCCCAGTTAACAGAGGTGGGCAGTCAGCAAGAAATGTCACGTACCTATTTTCTATTCGAAGGCGAAGTGCTCCTTGGTCTGCAGAAGCTGGCGATAAAAAACAGTCTCTTGGGAGGCTGACCCCTGGAAGCTCATTCAAGTGATCCTCGAGAAGGCGACTAAGTAAACAGACAATCCGATCATCCGCAAGCAGTTGGATGAGCTACAAAGTTGAGTACGAGATAGGAACAACGACATACTGCCACATTGCATTGCCAGATCAAGTACGAGATAGGAACAACGACATACTGCCACATTGCATTGCCAGATCATCTTTCCACGTCATACCTACATCATCCTGTCTCCTTTTTTTTTTTTTTTTTTTTTTTTCCTGAGGCATTATGCTTAAACAAATTCATTGTCAAATGCCCTGACAATGATACGAGTTCAGTTGAGAGCTGAATGTCACTAACAAAGAATTGGAAAAAGAGTCAAAGAAAACCAACAGTTTCAGCGCCAGAAAAGACCATATCATGAGGAAGAGAACATAAACAGCAACTTGAAGACGCAAACACCAGAGCATGGGCATGAAGTGATCTCAATCTTTCCACTTACGTCCTGACCACCTGCGGCGAATTGTCATCACCTTCTGGGAAATGCCGCACAGCACTAAACTTCTGTTTGGGAGCTTACTTCCCCAATCATCTTTGGTGATTGGCAATGTGCCTGCTCGGGAGCGAGCTTACCAGATCATCTGAGTTGATTGTTACCTGCGAGTCGGCAACATTTCTAGTCCATCCATTGGCCGCTTACCAGTCCTTTATAGACCAAGAGCGTCACACATTTTGGGTGACCAGTATAGAGCTAACAAAGTGACTTGAGTGTAGCATGCTGTAGGTTATGGGACACACACAGCTAGATCTGGTACCGATTTTGAGGTTGCCAAAACCGTTCCCTGGCAACTGTGTTCTTGCGATCAGAGGCAGTTTGGATTCTTCTGTTATTATGTTCCTCGTTGCTTTGTTTGCTGTTATTTTTTTTTTCTCCCATAGGGGGTAGCCCCTAACATCATTGCAGTAAAAAAAAAAGGCCAATGAGACAACACAGCACACTTATGAATGGGATTCAAGGGCTGTGCTGTTTGATAGGTAGACCTACGATCAGCAAATGTGAGGAGTGAGCTGCAATAAACGTGAACATGAAGGTGGTAAATGTCAGTGGGGACTGTGGAAGGTAGTAAGGTCCGGTGAGTATGGGAGCATATGGCAAACAGCAATAGGGGTAATGACTGGAGGGAGACGTGAAGGGAGGAAAAATAAAAAAAGGAGATTGGCAAGGAGATGGGGGAGTGGGAGATGTGATGTATAAAAGGAGGGCACGCTGTCATGTATCTCCTATCAAATGAAGTTTGCATGCGGATGAGGGATTGAGGAGCATACCCTTCTGATCTTTCTGGGAGAGTGACTGAGACCCCAGGGTGTTCCACATTGGGAAGGAGGATGCTTGCTTCATTTGAATTAAATTGAAGCGCACATTCCACTTTAAGCTTGAATGATGTGAGATTATGGCAGTGGGCTCATAGCATGCTATTGTGCCATGGCAGTTCTTCTGCGTCCTGCTCCATCTCCGACTCTCCTCCTGGATATGCTTGCCTCCCTCCCTAGTTCACCATATCAAATCGATTGATGCTCTCTCTCTCTCTCTCTCTCTCTCTCTCTCTCTCTCTCTCTCTCTCTCTCTCTCTCTCTCTCTC